TTATATTATAAAATAAAAAATATATACGTTTTTATTTTTTGGAGTATTTTTATCTTTTGGATATTTTATTTTTATATTTTTCATTTATTACGTTTATTTATATGTAATAGTAAAAATACATATATATGCAGTCTTGCATTTTTACTAGTCATGTTTTTTCCATTTGTGGAATTAAAAAATCTGTCCAATGTCAACTGCTTTTCTCCCTTCAAGATTTTCCAAAAGTAATTATCAATAATAGCATTGTAATTGTATATATCCCTAAGCCCATTAACCTCAACCTAGTTTGAATGCTATTCTAAAACCATCGTTCTGACATCATCTCACTTCTTCAAAAAATATTTAATAGCAGATACTGACATTAATTCTCTTTTTCAGAAGAAAACATGTCTCGCAGAATTTCTTGGTATTCTTCACTCAAGAGTTCTTGGTGTTCTTCTGTTATCAGATCAGTTTCAGGTTCCATTATGAGCTCTTCAATGTTATTTATTTCTCAGATGTGATTTTTGTTACTCCTTAAGCTGCTCAAGTTTTCTTTATAATACAGTATCTTTCTTAAATAAGATTGAACTGCAGCCTACTGTAGACCTGTTCAAGCCATACTGCACAGCAACAACAGACATCAGACATATGCCCACTCTCTACCTGTGATATTATACTCTCACCTTTTGAAAATAAAAACAGACGCAAAACTTGATGAATGCTCACCAGACAGTCTTGCGAATATTATAAATTAATTGTTTCTGTCAGAAAAATAAAAGGCTGGAATTACAAGGGAGAGTTTCAAAGTTTGGAGGAATACTATCCGATCAGTATATACCAGGTTGAGCGTCAATGTCAACGTCTCCCATGCTCCAAAAAGTTGGAAATTGTTGTCTGAAGACAAGGGAAGACCAATCGATATTCATTATTTTATGTTGCTTCTTCTCGTGTTTGTTCTGTGAGGTGTTCATTGTCCAAACATAAAAATCTATCGCAAAAGTATTCATTATCCAATCACCCACTGTATTTTAATTTTAAGATCATCATACAATTACATATTTTTATTTTAAAATTTAATAACTATTTTATAGGAGTCAATGATTTATATTAATAGAACAAACCTCATCATAAGGAGCTAAAATGTACAGTATTATTATAAGCAAACCAATCATGATGGGCTGTTCGGTGTGAAAGCCAAATGCTGCATATAGAACCTTTTTCTTAAATAATAGTGCAAAAACACTAAAACATATCAGCAAATTAACCTGAAAATAAAAATTTTACATTAAAGAAAAATAATTTTCACAAATATTTAAAACAAATTATTAAAATTATTCAATAAATATCCTAACAAAATCAATTACAAATTTATTGTTGCACATAAAACCTGTCAAATTGTATATAATTTGACAGGTTTTATGTGCAACAATAACTGTGATTGTGCAATTAATCTTTAAACTTTGATCACAGACAAAACACTTTCTGATATTTGCATAGCTCCACTTATGCTCTGCTCAATCATCAGAAAATTACTCTCTCTTTGTATAATATTTTACAAAAAATTAAGTATTCAATATCATATTCGAGAAATGAAAAAGCCAGAGATTATCAAAACAAAAAAGTTTATAAATTTTAGATTTTTCTCTGTACTTTCAATATTACAATAAATATTATCTTTAAAATGATATTTAATATATTTCAAAGAAATACATACTTGTGCAATTGCTATATTTTTTAAATTATGGTTTAATTTCCAATGTCCCAATTCATGACCCAATACGGCAAGAATTTCATCATTATTACAACCACCTTTATTCTGAAAGAAAAACAAGTTAAGATTTTTATTTATACATTTAAAAGCATTTAAAATTAAATTTAAGCAAATTATATTTACCTGCTTATCAGAATGTTCCTTGTCCTCTTTAGACTCATAATCTTTAATAAGAGTATCAAACAAAACAATTCTTTTGTTTTTATAAAACCCATAGAAGAAAGCATTGCTATGAGCAGAGCGTTTGGAACCTAATTTTAAATGTATTTATTAATTCTTTAATACAGAAAGAACCTTAAAATCTAACAACTATATGTTCAAAAATAATTCAATCTGGCTACTTAAAATAGTATAAATGCAGTGCATGCTTGTTAATGTAAACAAATTTTACTCTTTTCTCTTTTTTTTACTAATTGTTCTGGCCAGAAACAAAAGAAGTTCACTTATTATTTTTTAAAAACATGATGAAATTATGAAATGAATGTGTACTATATATTTTGGCATAAACAGATCCCAAATATAGTATAAATTTTTAAAATATATTCAAAAATATCACACAAACAACCTTTTCACTTTCCAGCACAATTATTTAATGTTTGGACAATGTTTACAAACTGTTTTACAGATCAACAAGCTTACACTTACATTAACATATCTTTTGTTCTCTTTCTGAAACATTAAAATGTTCAAAATATGTTTACCATGATTTATTTTGAAACTTATAATATAACTCTCTCTAAAACCAATAACTGGTGCAAAGTAAGGTTAATCAACAAATAACAAATGTTTTCTTAACTCCTTCCAAGTTCTTCCTAGAACTCAAAAGGAGTTAAGAAGGCCTTGGCAGCGGAGCTTAATTGTCAATCTTATTTAAGGGTAACACAACACAGGAGTACACATGCAAATAAATTCACATGCGCATTGCTCAAACTCATCATCTTACAGTTTGATTATATATTCAAATATTATATTCTAGAATGAATTTAGAAGATCCAGCTAATTTCAAATTAAAAAACCCAAGAAATTGGAAAGAGTTAAGAAAACATTTATTTGTTGCTTAATTAATTTAACCTTGCTTTGCACTGGTTATGGTTTTAGAGAGTGTTTTATTATTATTATTATTATTGTGTTGGGTTTAGTGGGTTATACTCGGTTTACACCAGTGGCTGTGTACTATGCCAGACCAAAGTCAAGGCATAGCAACTAGGTTTTCTTATTTCCCACTCTTTTGCTTGTCCCGGGATTCCGGGATAAAAGTGAACTGTTTCCCGGGATCCCAGGAAATCCCGAATAGAATCAATTATTTTTAAGGTATACAATATATCTTGAAATTAAATGATATAATTATTTTTCATTTTTTAAAGAAATTTTAAAGTTCTGTATCATCCAAAATCATATTAATAATGCTGTGTAAGATATATAATGAAAATTACCTTTGAATTACATAGAAATTTTCACAAATAGAAAAAAATTTATTAAAGTTTGCTAGAAACTGTACACAACAACAAAAATTCTTTGAATTGAGTTAAAAATTAAAAATTGAACTTTGATCAAACTTATAACTTAGAAAATAATTTTTGTTTTTTAAATAAAATATAATACAAAATATTGTAAACTTTTATAAGATTTTAAAAAGCAAAGATGACCAATACTCCGATCATTCACTCTAATTCTTATTTTAGTAAAGAAAAGTCTTGCTACCGAGAATGCCCTTTCCGATTCAATTGATGTGATTGGAATCATGTTTAATGCATTTAAGAGAAGACAAATATTATGTGTTTTTTCACCTGTAGCCTGAAAGATTTCGAGTTTGTTTTCGAGATTGTAGTACTTCTTTTGCTCTCTAGTATTTTTGATTTGTCTACCTCGGCTGCTTTAATAGAGGCATCGAGCTTATAGCTCAATAATTCGGCAATTTGTTTCGCTTTAATAATCTGGTTTATGAAGAAAAACTTCATACTTGCAGACTTTATACTCGTTTGTATCTTTGCCCAATTTGTACAATCGATTTCTGGATTTCTTTGTTTGTTTCTTTTATGTTACTCAACTCTAAGTGTATAAGTTTCACTTCTTGTAAAATTACTTCAGAATTTTTGGTAGTTATACTTAAGGGTGACATTGGAGTGAAAGTTAGATTATCTGGTGTTCTATCCACGTTTTTACTATAATTATGTGAAGTCATAATAATCTGTTCACACTCACCCAGTTCTCTGTCGTCTTCCAGTTCCTGTGTCCAATTTGCATTGTTCTTAACAATTTTCACTAATTTGCAATCTTCACATTTCCAAGTTTTTTTGTAAGACTTGCTGAACTTATGAAAGTTTGCTGCCTGGATCCCAAAACAATAGAAGTGAGCAAATTTAGAGCAATTGGAACAAGTTAATAAGTCACTTTCCGAAACTTTGTGCTTGCAAAAAGAACAAGTGCTCAAACGACGATTTGCCATAGCTCCACGCCTCCTCTACTCTCGACGATTGAACAATTGCCAATGATAACAATGTTCAGATTAAATTTTATAATGCCTGTATCTTACACCACTGCAAGGAGCCAGCCAGCCTGAAGTACAGTGATACCCCGAACTTATGTGATAGGTGAACCGAGCAATAACTGCATAAGTTGAATTCGTGTAAGTCGGGGTATAATTTCGCAATTTGTGTAAAATCCAAGTCGGATGTATGTAAGCTAATAAATGTTCTCGTTAATCTTATCTTGTCTTTTGATTCGTTCACGGTTACAAGAAATCACCACATAGAGTCTCTCAAGTCTCCGTAGATATAACAAACACAGAAATAAATAACACAAAATAAATTGTAACTATGTGACGATTCCATGCAACACGTCCGAACATGTAAGCTGAACAATAGTGTGGGGGAGTGAGTAATCAAGAGTTGTGTGGCGCTCAAACAAAAGACGAATTGACGAGATTTGAAAATCGCATAACTCGGGGTAGCATAAGTTGAAGTATTACTGTATCTTGAACAAATCAAAATATTCAAAGCCTTCAAAACAGGTATGGCGATTTAATTATAAAGAGATGGACTCTTTCAACTACACGGCAAGTGTTCTATGGCCTCCAATAAGTTTTGTATTAAGGCATATATGTTTTATTTAGTATATTGTAAAACCTTTTATTTTAAAAATTGTTATATATTGTAATATGCAGATTGAAGCACAATGTTAATGCATGAAGATTCCACATTTTAAATTTGGTGTTCTATTTTTAAAATACGCATTTATTTATATCTACATTTTTCTAACTTGAAAATGACCATTTCAAGTTAGAAATTAAAATGGAAGAAAACATTTGTTTTCTTCCATTTTAAATGGTATTTTCAAGTTAAAGAAAGTTACTGTTAAATCAGAACAAAGGTCACATAAGTTATGTAAGAGAGAGAGAGAGAGAGAAAGGTAAAAAACTGTAGTTGTCAAAGCAAATGCAATGTGGAAATAAAAGACATCATAGATCATAGTGGAATGTCAACCTGGAGATATGGAACTTTGACAAAATGCTCATATATAAGTGATCTAAGTTAGAAAATTGGAAAAAGAAAAAAGGATGACGGTCAAAGAACAGCACATTAGATCGTTGAAATTCTAAAACATCAAAGAAAAGGCAATAACAGAGTAAGATACGACTGTAGGTTTCATAGTTTCATCAACATCTCCCAGTCAGAGTTGATGAATGGTATCAGGTAGACTCTCTGAAATGGACCTTTCTCGTGACGCAAACAGGTCTCGGTTTTCACCTGGAGACAGGGGAGCGGCCAATCAGGAAGCAAGATGAAGGATGTAAGGCCAATAAAAAAGGAAGACAGAGAGAAAAAAAACTATAAAAACCCCAAAATCAAAGGTGGAAGCACAGTTTTTGTTAATTCTGTTCCGAAACAAATCTGTGCCACCCATAACAATGAAATTGCTATTGTTTGGATAACACCAGTGTCTCTATGAGCAACCAACTTGAGTCTCCCACACTTCTGGACAGACTCAGCAATGTTACCATCTGGGGCCATTATCAGTCATCTCCCTCTGTTGCCAACTATCAACTGTCAGACTCTTTAAATGACCTTTAAATGACCTAGAGGAAATAATCTCTCTGGAAACATAAACGTCATCCTCTTCAAACTCTGACGAGTGTTGTGACCTCAGAAACAAACTGTTTACTAGCTTTTTGTAAGTTACTTTTGATTCACAATAAATAGTTTTGTAAGGACATGTGTCATCTCTACCTCTAACTCCCCCACCCACATGTGAAAAGACCCTAGATCACTCCTGACATGGGACTAATTGATTCCCCTTGTAAGTCGTCAAACTCATATTATCATTGTTATTAATTATACAAAGGTCATTCTAAAAGTAAAGAACATTTGTTTCTCTAGATATTTTTATTTAAGATAATGAAACGAAACTTATTTTACAATACATATGATACCTTAGCTATTTTTCTACGTAGTTGCCATACAAATTTAAACATTTGTCATAGCATAACACCAGCTTTTCTATGCCTTCTGAACACTCAGTTACCACCAGTCATTAATGGCCTCTTTCAGTTCGTTGTCACTTCCATAGTGATTCCCAGCCAAAAAGTCCTTCAATTTTGGTAAAAGATGGTAATCATTCGGAGCCAAGTCCAGGCCATAAGGAGGATGTTCAAAAACTTTCCACTTAAACTGCTGAAGCAAGTTCTTTGTCAATGCAGCAGCATGTGGACGTATGTTATCCTGAAGAAGCTCAATGCCTCTGGATAACAATCCCCACCGTTTCTTTTGAACTGAAGCTTCATTCATCACATTACCATAAACCTTGGTTATCTGTCTGTAAATTTCGATAGGGTGGACTTTTTTGGCATTCAAAAAGCATATTACACTACGAACCTCACACATGGTGTAATCTTCAATTTTGTCACACATTTCAAAGTCATACTATAAACAGTAAACAATCATTGAGGCTCGCTGTTAGCATCAGACTGGTGCAAAAAAATGGGAAGGTCTATGATGCGGCAGTAGGGGTGGTGGGAGAACTGCACAGTTCATCAGATCAAAACATTCTTTTCTTTTAGAATGACCATAATACATTAATTTTGAATTTAGTTCAATAAAGAAAATTCAGGAAAAAATGACTTAAATTTAAGCAAAATCTGAATCCACATCATCTGCTTACCACAGTTGCATTGTTGAATGTTACTTAGAACTCTATTTGTCCAATTGTTTAATTAAATTCAATATAGCCAAATTCCATAATTTAATTAATGAAAATTATCTTAATTCTAGTCTGAAAATAAATATTTAGATCTGTTTTTGTTTTTACTATTTTTGTATTAAACATTATTAAAATATTATATAAACTAATATATAAAAAATATAAACTAATGTAAATAAATTACAATCAATTAAGCTATTGATGTCGTTTTAAAGGAAATTTTTTTTATCAAGTCAAATAACCAGAAAACTAAAATATTTATTCTAATTTCTCTCATTCAAATTTAAACTAATTTTCTTATGAAAGTATAATAAAATAGAAGTATAACAGGAGAACATTTCAAATAAAATTTAATTTTAGTTTTAAAGTGAAGTTGAATTAATTATTGTGATGATGTTAAAAATTCATAAACCATACCCAATTTAACATTTTTCAAGAAACTAATGAAAAAAAGAATTATATTGTGGCATATGTATGAAAGGACCTACTTATAGAAAGAAAATAAAGTTATGTTTCTTAAGAAAAGTATTATTGTTTTTTTTATTACAATAATCCACCTTACAGAAAAAAAAATAATCAATGTAAAAAAAGTTTAAAAAACAAGCTTACTTTAAAATTTTATATTTTGGTCTTTTAAATAAAATTTTAAACTAGTTATATTTTAATAATCAGATAATATACAATTTAATATTCTAAATTAAATACTAAATTTATAAAAAAAAAAAAAAACAAAATGTTCTAACTAGTTGTATTCAAATACAGTTGACCCCCTATAACGTGCATTCCTATAACGACAATTCCTATAACGTAGCGAAAAAATTGTAGCAACATTCGTATAAATTACCTCCTATAACGTCGTTTCGCGACAAGATTGATAGAATCTGGACCAATAGTGGATGAGCAGCCGAACTACTTTCCTCCGACCCTGCGCCACGCTACGGAGCGGCTAAATTGAGTTTGCTATCGTCTGTTTAGTATTATATATAAATTATATATAAATTAGGTACTGTACATATAATTATATATTAATTATATATAAATTAGGTACTGTATATATAATTATATATTAACTTAATTTATTGTAACTTTATTATAATTATATATATGCTTTCTGCCGCCTGGCAACACGCTACGGAGATTTTAGGCTAGTAAGTTGAGTTTATTATCGTCTGTACAGTATGTAAATTAGGTACCGTAAGTCTAATACAGCACTAATTTTATACATTTCTTGTGAAAGAAACACTTCTTATTCAACGGCCATAAAAATTATTTATATTAATGATGTCTCCAAAGGTCAAGTTATTTTTCTGCCAAAAATTCGTTATCAGAAATTGCGGCCGTCGTTTCGCGTGCTGTTCCGCGATGAAAACCAGCTTTAAGCAACGGCGTAGTCGAACGGTGCACACTCGGTAAGTAATCCTATAATTTTTTGTTTATAGCATAGTTTATACAGATTATTCCCAAAAAATTATACGTGTTTTGGAAATGTTGAGTGGAATTAGTCTAGAATCGCTTAATTTTATAAAAGAAAACCTTTCAAACAGCCTTAGTCCGTAAAGTTCACACCTATCGGGCTGCGATTGGCTCATGTATTTAATCATTCCTACAATGTAAAATTCGATTAGCGTGGAACGTATCTAAGCGTTATAGGGGGGTCTACTGTATACTGAAATTATATTCTGCAGAACATAGTATTAACATGTTTATAGTGTTTAATCATAGAGACCAACATTTATCATTTTTATACAGTAGACCCCCTATAAAACGGGTTCATATAGTTCGGATTCCTATATAATGGCGAAAAAATTGCGACTGTATTCGTACAAACACGCTAAAAAAAAAACTCATGTAATTCGGTAAAACATCATCGCTGACTCGTGTTGCAACAAGATAGGTCGAATCTAGACCAATAGCGAATATTGTACAAACCGCTGAGTTTAAATGAGCAGCAGACCTACTAAAAACCATTTATTATTTAATGTCCATAAAAATTATATTTATATTAATGATGTCTCCAAAGTTCAGCAAATTTTTCGCAAAAAAAATAATTTATCAGAAGCACACAAGCACCATTCAATGACAAGCTCCACAACGAAAACAAGCTTAAGCAACGGCGTTGTCGAACGGTGCACACTCGGTAAGTAATCCTACAATTTTTTGTTCATAGCATAGTTTATATGGATTATTCCCAAAAAATTATATGTATTTTAGAAATGTTGAGTCGAATTAGTCTAGAATTGATTAATTTTATGGAAGAAAACCTTTCAAACAGCCATAGTCCCTAAACTGCATACATGGCAGGCTGTGATTGGCTCATGTATTTAAGGACTTGTAGAAAATGGATTCACAAAAACTGGAACGTATCTACCGTGTTATAGGGGGGATCAACTGTATTTTCATAATATATCAAAGGTCATCATACATTATAGATATGGACCAAAATATAAAAATTTAGAAACGATTCGTCTTGTTCCCTCGCAATAAGATAAGGCTATTTTATGAATTTAACTCCATCTCGATAATTACGTTTTGTTAACATTTTCATGAAGATTAAACATCTCCGCATAATAACTGAATGGACGAGGATATGATTTTGTAGTGATTCTCGAATGTATTGGCTATAGAAATTTAAACATGGTAACTTTTATTTACCCCATTATAAACATAGCCTATTCATACACACGAGTCAAGTCAGCANCTTAAAAAAAAAAAAAAAAAGTAATATTCAAAAAATTACATACAAATTATTTTCATTATACAGTAAAACCTGTGTAAACTGGAATTACACAGTACTGAAATAATTTTCTTCATTTTGGCAGTATTTTTTTTTAATCTAAACTGTGTCAGATAAATGTCACATGGTTACATTTGTTTTTTATAGTAAAATCTGTTTTATGTATGTAAAAAAAACTTTATTACGAGGCTGAAAAGAATTGAGAACTATTTGATTGCAAAATGTTCTCACTGTTTCCAAGAACTTGAGCTGGGTATTCAAATACTTCTAGGATGTGATCCTTATGTAACAGTGAACAAGCCAATTAGGGTAACAAAACTTGGTGTCTGGCTCTGATGTCAAAAACTCTAACTGCATTACAGTAATACAGAGACAAAGTTATTCTGTAAACTAACTTCTCAACAAATTTTAATGCTCTAATTAATTATTTACTTCAATCTTTGTAATTATCAACATTTAAATTGCTTGCTTTTGAATACTCTGTCTACTTAGTAAATAATTATTACATACAAGGCAGCACTGTGTTACTAGCATCATGTCAAAGTTACTATCATGTCAATAGACTAGCATCATGTCAATAGACTAGCATCATGTCAAAGTTACAACCTACAATTTATGTGCTCTATTTTAGAATGCACATGAAATATTACAAATTCAAAAATTTGGTATATTAGGAAATTTTAAATGCATGTTCTAAATAAAATTTATAAATAAGGATTGAAAAATTATAAATTTTAAATACATTTATATTTTACAGTGTTGACTACAATTTCAGATTTTGATTAATGTTAAGACAACATAACAATTATGGTCACTCTATCTGAATCCAAAGAAGGATTGTCAAGCAGTTGATAACTTCTCACAATCTTTGAAACTTCCTTTTTTTTAGCTGCTTTGAGTATTTTGACAGATTTTAAGTATCTGGTCTGGTCTTTGTAAAAGGATATGCCAAATTAGTTTGGCTTGTTCAAAGCTTACTTTAACTCCCAGTTCAAGATGAATAGAGCTATATTGGGTTTTTTCTTTTTGACCTGTGTTATCAATCTTTTGTTTAGTGATCTGTTGGTGGACCCAATGTAAATTAGATTACAATTAAAAATCTCATCAGTGACTGGGACACTATACATTCCTGGTGCCTTCATTCTTACTATATTGGTTTTACAACTGCATAATAGTTTATATACTGTGGGATTGTGGTGATATACAATTGTGGTGCCCATATTTAGGAATTTCCTTATATATTCCTTTGAATCCTCTATAACACAAGTCCTCCAGGAAGCTCTGATTTTTTACCACTTCTCATATGTAACCACTTTTGATTTTCCAACAGAGTGGTAAAAAGGTTTTACTGTATTTTAAGACTTGTATTGAAACAAACAGAATCCTATACCTGAAGGATCAGTAAATAAAAACTAAGTAAACAGCAGTAATCCAAATTCCTGAAGTTCTTTTCTGTTCTGAAAAATACTTCATTCATCCTAATTTCAAACTGTATAATTTTAAATTTTTATATATTGGGTTGTTCGGAAAGTTTGTAGCAATTTTTGATAGCCGACAGTTGAGACACTGACTGATGTGAAAATGATTAGAATTGTACAAACCAATGAATATTACAATAAATGACCTTGAGACATGTCCATTACAAAAATGTTAAGATTATTCAAATATTGTTTAATTTGTCTCATTGCAAAAATGGATGCAAACAACGTGCATTATCGACACTTGTTTCTCTTTTTTTATCGTAAAGGAGAACATGCTGTACAAACAGCAAAAAAGATATGTGATGTTTATGGTGGGAGTGCTGTAGCAGAATCAATTGTTCGAAAGTGGTTTGCAAAATTTAAAGCAGGTGATTTCAGCCTTGGAGATGCTCCCCGCTCAGGAAGACCTCCCGTTATTGAAGAGGACCAGATCAAAGCATTATTGGATGAAAACCCTCATTATACAACTCCAGAAATTGCAGACATGGTGAAGTTATCAAACAGTACCATATTTCAACATCTAAAGAAGCTTGGATATGTGAATTGTTTGGATGCGCCATTTGGATATCTCNGGAACACATATATCAAGCTTTGAAACGAAACCAATTTGTTTCAAGTAATCATAAATAGTTCAATTTGACAAATTTAATCTCTTAGTGATTTCACATGTTGTTATTCGGCAGTTTGCTTCAATCAGTATCTTTATTTTGTTTTCATTGGCTTCAACTGGCCATCCAGAATGTGGTGCATCTTCAATATTGAAATTGCCAGAACGAAATTTTGTAAACCAGTTTTGACACTGTCAGTTCTGTCACTATATCTTCTCCATACATGTCACATAATTTTTTTTCTTGCTTGAACAACATTCTTACCTTTTCAGTAATAAAAGAACAAAATATACTGAAAATGCTGCTTTTGATCTTCCATATTTGATGGGACACAAAAAATAAACAATTGTACGAAATCAAACCAAATTTTTTAGAAATAAGCCTTAAATTGCTAGCTGTCAAAATATATAATGATAATACAGTTTAGAATGAAAATGGCAGAAAAATAAGACTAATCTGTCTAGTGGTAAAAAAAACAAAATTACTTTCCAAACAACCCAATAAGAATTTTTGCTTTAAACTGGTCATTTTAAAATGAACAGAAATTGTCAAAATCATTTTGATTTTAAAATTTATTTTTGTATATTATAATAAAACAGTTATATATTAAAAGGACTGTAAATATGATGATTAGAATTTTATTACAATACATATTTAAATAAGAGAGTATTGATAGCAAAAAGAGTAAATATATAAATTGTTTAAAAATTTAACAAGTAAAAAGTTATATTTCAATAAACTTACCAAAGTAATTGCCACAGAGAATAACCACAAATATAAGAAAAAATAATCTCCTCCTATTTTAACAATTTGTACAACACATGCAGATACTGGCAATGCAATCATCATGATCACTAAAAACTTCTTCAATTTATCAGTAATGAAGAATGTTGGTGTCTATTAACATATAAAAAATAATTATAAAAGATTCAAATACAATTTTTGTAATAGAAAAAAACATGTTACAATTTTCAATCTTTTTACTTTCCAAACTTTATTTAGATATATAACAAAAGCTCTATATTCATGCATTCTTTAACTTTAAATTACACACATGTGCAATAATTTCTCATATTCACAAAACTAAAATTAATTTATTTGTGGAAGGATTAACAAAAATAACATATCGATAGATAAACAGACAAAGAATTTTTAATACTTTTTACCTTAGCATACAATTTATATTGTCAATTTTAACACTTCATTAATAAATAAATACACTATTACACTAACTCTAGTTTCTTGTATTATTACAGCATCAGCTCTTATTAGGATAGTAAATATCATGCTTTATACAAATATGTATTGTGAATGTCAGTGTCATGTTTTATAAGTAGACTTAAGTTTGTTAATTTATAAAGATAAAAAAACTAAGTCATCTAAACACTCTAGTAGCAAACTATTGAAAAGCTTAAAACAGTGATGCTCCTCTGAGACAAAATTAAAGTACTAGATAATTTTGAAGGGAGGAAAATTAGCATCTACAATTAATTACACTTTCATTGTAATAAATCTATCATAAGACACATTAAAGAAGAAAAAGTTAAAAATGTGGTAGCAAAATTTCTTTATATAAAAATATTCTTTTTTTATTTTCTAATCATATATTAAATTTCCTAGCTTAATTTTTTCAATAAACTTTTTCCTTTCTGTATTTGCAATTTCCATTTTTCCACAATTTTGCAGAACATAATCCCAAGAATGCAAAGCTTCTATTGTATAGGTCCTTTTATCATCAACACTAGAACCTATCTAAATTATTATACATCTAATATTTCAGAAAAACTTTAAAATAAATAAATTAGTTAAAAAGTTTATCAAGAATACTTAATAAAAATTATAACAATCTTTAAGTGAATAAAATGAAAAACTACTTTAATTGAAACTTCAAAAATACAAACTGAAAATGTACTTAATTTTAGCAACTACAATAAAGAATAAAAGTTTCTTCCAATAGTGAGACTAGTGATCTTTATCAAATCTTTCCCAATTACCCACAATAAACAGAGACCAAGATTAATAAATCAATTTACTTTATTTGCCTATTTAATAATGTATTTCAGATTGGTATTTTGCAATCCCTCTTCAGGCTATGAATTTTAAATGTAAAACACAATTTTAAGAAAATATATGTTAAAAAAAATCTCATTATTTAGGTTGATAAAATTTTGATAACATAATATTATCCCTTGTCAAAATTCTATCAACCTAAATAATGGGATGGAAATTGACAATGGGTGGTATGACATAATTAAGAACCACAAAAGGTGTCACAAATGTAAAGTCGGGTAGTGAAACACAAAGCAGTGAGGTTCATTTTGTATACTTGCAAATTAAAATTTTTTTTAATATATATTTTCTTAAAATTGTTTTTTAAATTTAAAATTTGAAGCATGAAGAATTGGAAAATATCAATACAAAATGCATTATGTAGGCTAATAAGATGAATTGATTTATTAATCACGGTCTCTGTTTATTGTGGATAATTAAGAAAAACATGATAAACAGAGACCATGATTAATAAATCAATTCATCTTATTAGCCTATATAATGCATTTTATACTCATTTTTAACTTTACTCATTGTTAAAGCCGTTCCATTCTAATAATTTTATTAAACAGTTTATAATAAAGAGGTTTCAATTATTTTGTAACAAAAACATGGAACTAACATATGAATTCTTACCTTTAAGTGTTCAAGTTATAAATTTGAACATTTTCAAATTTATATTACATTTAAGTATAAAATATTTATTTTTATAAACAATGACAAACTGAAAAAGTTCAAATAATAATAAAAGCAGCTTATAACTCTAGCAATAAGGTCATTACTGCATATATACTGTACAGACATATATGCATTTTTATTTAAATATTTATGAAGTCATAAAGCTTCCTGCATAAGATATAACCACAGTTGTAATGAATCTTACTTTTTTTTGATACAAAAATAAAATGGGTCTAAGATATTCAGGAAATTCAAGATAGAAACAGTTATCAAGGTATTTTTCACTGCTTTCATATTTATAAATTTTTTTTATGTAGTCTATGTAACAAAGACAAAAGTTTTCAATTTGGGATATTTTCTTAGATAAAAAATTAATTTGAATAAATTTGAATAAATTATTTATCATCAATAGGCATTTGAATCATCCTCCATAAAATAAATATATATGATCTGTCTAAGTTTTGCAGTTTGATAAAAGGTGAAAAATATTGAATTTTACAAAAAGCAACAGTCATAACAAGTACTCTATTTTTCCATATCTGTACCACTTGTATGCTTAAGAACACTTTGTTTGTCATTTAAAATTTAAATAATATTCTTTGAAATATTCTTCTTAGTCAATCATTGAAAAAAGTGACAAAGCCAGAAATAATTTGAGTCTTTTTCAAATATGGTAAAACCCTGATTATCTGAGGTAACGTGGACCAATGCAACCTTGGATAAAATGGAGGGCCACGATAATTTCAGATTAAAAATTACAAATATAATAGATTGTGGTAACAACTTTAAGCCTCTTTTTATAGTGAATTTAATCATATAGCCTACAGCAACATTTTTTACATCATTTATTATACAGCTAATACATACAATAAGAATAAAAATGTGCATCATTGTAGTTACATTTTAATACAAATTATTTGCCTCATTGAAGTTAAAATGATAAAAGGTTCTACTGCCCTGTCATTATATGCATTAGAAAATGCTCAAAAAGCTCAAATGCAAAAAATGTCAAAGCTTTACTACATCAAACATGCATGTTACTCACTGCCCTATATATAAGTCTTGAAATCCTTGAAAATTTTTAAAGTTGGGCATAACAATAATTGCATAAACCAAAAGGATAAAATACACTTCTTGCCACACTTCTTATAGTTATAAGAAGTGTGGCAAGAACTTTAAGATAATTCCTTGCAAGTTCTGTTGCGTTGGAGCTCTGTCTGTGCACGTCTGGCAAATGCCTGCATTTAAAAAAAAAAAAATTGAATTCTATGGAAGTTCTACTGATACGTTCCAAGAATAAAACAATTTAGCCTGAATCATAACTCAGGAATCCAAAGGTCTTTGGAATAGAGTTTGTTCTTCACTTGACTTATTTTAGGTATTTTGGTATCTGTATACTGTAACATTCAGTTTGAGATAGTGTTGAGGTGCTCTGTCTCAATGATAAGATTTTATTTATTCTGTATTCTGCACTTCATCTTTCTATTGCAACTGAACAGGTTTTAAAATGGCATGAAATTCTCAATAATTTTGTTTGTAATACTGCCCAATCCCCAACCCTTCTGGAAAGAACACCCTTCTAACAGTCATCTCCATCTATTTTATTAAATAATTTTAAATAACATGAAAAGTTGTATAGTTTCAAAAAATGTGATTTTACATAAATAAATATCTAATTCAAACAATTATATTGATTACATCAACTATCTTTAAAATTTTATTAATACTTCAATTTAAAATATTTAAATAATTCAAAAACAGAACCAACCAGTTTATTGAATCCATGTCGTTCTTCAATGACAAAATTGCCATAAGCCGAGAAAGGAAGATCTATTATCAAATTCAAACAACTTGCCAGGAACACAAAAACTAGAGTTTGAGTTATCTGCCAGAAAAAGAAAAATTATTAATTTACAATAAATTAATAAATTATAGAATGTTTAATAATCATTTTAGTTAAATTTAAAAGAAATAACTGTTTTTCTGTTATCAGTTTAAATAATGTACAAATTAGTTTTTATTTTCAATCTTAAAAATTTGAATTAACTGTAAATAACAATAACTCAAAGCCTGAATAATATATAATAAATTACCAAACGATCACCTAAATATCAGGCTATAATTAAATGATTGGAATAAAGTAATTTGACATTAGAGGTAGACGTTAGGCGCCATCTCTTAAGTAAATTAATTTACTTAAGAGATGGTGCCTAATGTCTACCTCTAATGTCAAATTGCTTTATTCCAATCATTTAATTATAAACCGATATTTAAGCGATCATTTGGTAATTTATTGAATTAACTGTTTTATTATTACAGCTCATTAATACTATTTTGATTCTCAATTATACAGATCTTGATGTAACAGATATCAGAAAAAACAGTTTGAAACTGCTTACTCCAAAGTATCCATCAGAGTGAAATGCAATTTTTGAGAATATCAGACTGTAAATGTTACAATGCAGAATGTCAGCAACTTTTGTTTATATCGCTGCTTGAAACTGTGATGATTATTTTTCCTTATATTTATCAAAGTATAGACCAGGGGTGAGCAAGCAAGGGGTCAGTGGGAGCCAAAATGTAGGTTTTGCAAAATGCATGGGAGCCACAGTTCTGTACTTTTTATTCTGTACTGCAGTTCTGTACCACGATTTTATTACATAATATAAATATTACATAAAACAAATATTGAATTTTTTTAATAAACATATTTTCACAAAATTGTAAAAATAATTATAAAAAGTAGAAATTAACACTTTAAGCAAGAGCCGCATGTGGCTCTCGGAGCCGATTTGTCCATGGTGAGTATTGACACTCTGTCTCTCTTAGCATTAGTATCTCATATAAAGTTTGTTTGTAGTTACTGTGACATCTTTGGGTATAATAAACAATCAACACTATTGGACTGCCACTTCCTACTATCCATCTACTACATATTGAAGGCACACAGTATTTACAAATAATACATTTTTATTTTAAACACTTCTGTTCTTAATTTAAATTTAAAATAAATGAAATTTTAAAAATTAAGTAATTTAAAAAGCAAAATTGTCATCCATCAGTTTCCACTTTCTTATCCCTTTTGCATGCAGAAAAATAAAAATTTCTCCAATTAAGAAGTTCATTTATCTATAAAACAGACATTTTTAGACAAAAACAAACCAATAAGATTTCTGTTTATTTTTATATTTAACTATTAAAAGTGATGAAGAATTACTGATTTACTGAAAATAAACTATTCAAATTTCATTCTTTTGAAGGATTAACACAAATCTATTTATACAAATTGTAAGTTGAACCTGAAAATGATCATTTATATTTATTACACAAATATTTGAACTGCAATATGAAAAAATTGTAAATCTATAAATTTTCACTGTCATCTGTCTTCTCTATCTGTCTTCCTTCCTTCATCTTGAAAATGGAGTTAGATAGATGAAAGCTAAGACCAAATATGGAAAAATTAGGGACAGGAGGCCTCAATTAACTGTGTAAGAACTTCTCATGCAAACCAGGGCCATGTTCAGTAATGCAGAATTCTTGCTAAATCTAGTTATGCTGCAATGTTGAACTTGTTTCTAACTACTGCTTGACTCCTCCCACCACTAGCTTCTTTTATGTATTCTTAGCTCCACCCACTAAGCCACTCAGAATTCTAACTCTAATTCTAGCTCAGAAGTCATGTTATTTCAATTCAAACATTTTCCCCCAAAGGGATTAGATAGATGACCAGAATGACTCTATTGCTAACAGAAAAAGTATGATGTACAGGGACAAGACACTACAAATTTGAGATGGATATAGGCACATATATTTTAAATTACATAAATTTTAAAAATATGATTAAAATTGAAACCCAGCATTGTCCAATTATATTAATTATTTATATCTTTTATAGTTTGGTTTCACAATGAAGTTCGTATGATGTTAAACCACATTGAGACGGTTAACAAAAATTATAACATTTTATACAATTATAAATATAAAATTTATACTGGTAAGCTATAAGGATCATTAATTGTAAATATAAAATAAAATATATTGTCTTCAGGAGAATAGAATGAAACCTGTTTAGAACAAGAATTTTATTCAATGTTCATAAGTGTTAGTATATATGTTAGTAGCAATGTATGAAAAGCAGGCATTGTATAGAATGCCTAGCATTTTTGGGAAAGTATGATATATCCAAATTATTTTAATATTATATATACTTTCCATAGGCATTGTTTGTAATACCTAGGCATTATATAGGATGACAAATGCTATTTAGGCAAAGTATTAAAAGAAAGTCATGGAAAGGCTTTTATTGAAAAGACATACAGTAGAACCCCTCTAGTCCGCCCTCGGCTAGTCCGTCACTCCGGTTAATCCGACCGTGGTCGGAGTCGAGAAACTTGTCCCGACTCGTCAGTGACTCACTGTCCGTGGCGTTTTTCTGTGTTTGTTACAGTATATGTTTTACATTGTGTGTACATGTACAGTTTTGTGTGTGTTTTTAACATGTCAGGAGTGAAACGTAAACACGTTACTCTTTCATTAAATGAAAAATTAGCAGTGCTACAAAGACTGGACAAAGGGGACGATTGTTTATTTTACTTTTTTCTGATAATGCTACAAAGACTGGACAAAGGGGACGATTGTTTATTTTACTTTTTTCTGATAATCCGACCTCTTTTGCGTTCCGACCATACCCCCAGTCCCAAAAGTGACGGATTAGAGGGGTTCTACTGTACATGAAAAAGAAAGAAATACAAAATAAAGTATAGGACTTTCTTATTGAGGAAAACAAGAGAAAATAAAATATAAACCTACTTGTTGCTTATTTAAATTAAATTATATCTGCTAGTATAGTTTGAAGGTTTTAGTGGTGTTACTTAACAGTCTATAATCAGGTTTGGAAGATTCAAAACTACTTGTTGCAACAAGGAAGGAAAGAATTTTATTTTAAATTGCACTTAATTGTCTTTTTCACAAAAAAGAGGCCTTCATTAAAAATACACAAATGAAAAAAGAAAATATCAAATAAAATACAGAACTTTCTTATTGAAAAAATTAACCTATTTGTTGCAACAAGGAAGGCATTTTGACTACTTCATTGCTTTTATCACACAAAAGCACTTCCTGTTTTGGCACTTGATCTTACACAGACATTGAGAGACCCACTTTCGTTTTGCAACCAAAAAGATCTTTTGGTGTTATTTTGATCCCAGAATAATAAACCCTATTCTTCATAAGTTGAATGAAATGTAGTCCCCCACCCTAGCAATCAGTTTTTTCATCTAGATCCAAGTACACAGCATATTTTCAATATCTTGATTAGCTCTTTCAACACTACCCTCCTTTGTGAGTGGTGAGGTGAGGCTTGCTGTGGATAATCTTCACTGTCATCCAATACTCCTTCAAGCTGATCAGCACATTATTTACAAATTCCCTACTGTTGTCAGACTGTAGAACAAATGGTGCCACAAATAATGAGAATATATCCACTAGATTGTAGGCTACTACTTCTACTCTCTTTGAAGTCAGAGCCTTGAGAACCACGAATTTAGTAAGATGATCCATTATAAATTTGTATTCCTTATCAGGTTGGAATTGAAAATCAATGAGATCAACCTGACAATTGAAATTAAATTCAGAAAAACCCATAGGCTTCACAACAACACCTTTTTTTAATACTTTTTTGTTTTTTCTGGCATGGCTCACAAAGGTGAATGTACAGTTCAATATCATGATGAGTAACATTCTTGTATTGAACAAAAGTTCTTTCAATATTGTCATGTTCTCAGTGGCCAATGGCCAAATGAGTGTCATGAAGTATGTTAAATAACTCAGAATCCATGATGTAGAAGTGGATAGCACTAATGCCTTCTTTAACAAGATAAATCAGTTTACTTTTGTTTTGCATTAACATCACATCATTGCAATTCAGTAGCCAATAGTCCCATGGTTCCTTCTTAGTAGTTAGAAGCATTAGCCCACACTTTAGACAGTTCATCGTAGAATCGTCATTGTATGTCAACATGCCACGATTCCTTCTCGGACACTTCACCTTGCTCTTTCACTTTCATACAGCACAGTATGGGCTAGAGTATTTGCTGAACAAATTCAAAGTAGCATATTTCATCACTTCCGAACAAAGACTGAAGTGCAAATGGGAAATTCTCCATCTGAGGCGTATGTTGAAAGTCATGTGCCTTGCCACAATTTTCTTATGTCTTTTCAATAAAAGCCTTTTCATGACATCTTTTAATACTTTGTTAAATAGCATTTATCATTCTATACAATGCCCAGGAAAAGTATATAAAATATTAAAATAATTTGAATATTTCATACTTTGCCCAAAAATGCCAGGCATTTTATACAATGCCTGCTTTTCATACATTGCCAGTAACATATACATGATTAATGCATTTCTCTTTGTAATTGTGTTTGTAGATTTCAAGGATCTCACATACTTGGTCTGGATTGGGTTACAAAGAGGTTTAATAATGTCCCATAAACAATTAAACTTTTTCATACAATCAAACATGTTAAAATGATGTACAGTAATTACTTTGATATACTTGATTATAACAAAAAGTTTGAGATATGGCACTGCAATCTTTGGCTACATCTTGGGATACTCCAATATTTTTTTTGTTGGTATGTGTGTTTTAGCTGGCAGCACTGACACTTTTGTGTGGTGTTTTTCTGAGGACTGTGTGTCGTGCCGAATCAAACGTTTTTGATACTAGATCAACTTCTAAAGTATATTTTTTTTTGTTTTTATATTTTTCAATATATTTATTTTGTTTGTAAAAAATAAAGAAATAATTTTTAACAATACAATAGCCATGATTATTATTTTAAAAAGTTTATGTTAGACTTAACATTGACAAAAATTCAACATAAAGTGACACACAACAGAGAAAAATTTCAACACAGGATAGGTTAATATATTTTTCGTACATAATTGGTTATCCGAAAAATAAGTTATCCGAACAACCTCAGTCCCCAATTGATTCGGATAAACGACGCTCTACTGTAACACTATTTTCTTAAAAGTACTGTATTTGCAAAACACAAAAAATTCTTTTAGATTACAATAACTGTAAAAACTGAATTTGTAATAATGAATCAAATTACCTCATACTCAGATCCATATCCAAAATGAGCAATTGTTTTTCCACTCAAATACCATATGTGATAATTGACCTCAAAGAAGAGTACAGCCTGTAATGTACAAATATATAAATACATTAATTAATCTAAAGACAACATAAAGAAACAAACATTTAAAGATACATAAATTCCAAACAAAAGTAAAATTACAAACTAATTTCAATGAATTCTTTTGCTTTATTTCTTGTAGGTATCTTCAGATTAACATAAGGAAATAGAACATTTACATAATAAAATGCTTATCATTTAGATTTTCTTACTAAAATATTAATTAATATAAGCATTATAAAATTCAAAACCATGTAAGAAAATATACATTTTCGAGTCTTTTTTTAATCCATTAATACAACCACAGAAGTAACAGTTACATTGGCTTGAAGAAAATCTTCATTAAAAAGACAAATAATAATAGACAAAATTCGCAAAGTTAAAATTAATATGAAAATGTCAGATCCTCCAATAAAAGACTGACATTTGATATTGTTTCTAACATTGTGAATTTTTATCTATTATTATTTGTCTTTTTAATGAAGATTTTCTTCAAGCCAATGTAACTGTTACTTCTGTGGTTGTGTTAATGGATTAAAAAAAGACTCGAAAATGTATATTTTCATACAGGGTCTTAACTTCACCAGACTTTTACATATGAACACCTCCACAGTGCAGGCACCAAAAACACTGAGAATATTCACATTTGCCAAAATGCACAAACCAAGATACCCAATACATCCTGTAATCAAGAAATGTAACTCTCCAACATTCTTGAACAAAAAACAACTGGTCAAATTCTTCCAATCTAAAGCTCATTACCATCCGCTCTCAATTAATAACTCGCTGAAACTTATAGAAAGTTTCAAAGGCATCTCTCTAATGGACAATGAATATATGAGAGTCTTGGACTTCAAGTCGATGTATCCTTCTATAAAATTATCTCCTTGTTTTTGTGCAATAAGAGATTTTTTGTTTGCCAATATTGAATATGCGCCACAACATAATCAAATACTAGAACTTACCTAGTATAATATACATCATTTTTTACATTTGAAAATGAGTTATATTTACAAAGAAGAGGCATACCTATGGGTAGTCCCACATTGGCAATTCTTTGTGAGTTGGTCTTACGACAACTAGAAAGCAAAGTTCTACCCAAATTTCAGCACCTTATCATTTTGTACACCAGATATGTTGACGATATATTCAACCTATGGCAAAGAAAACCTAACTTGCAACAATTTTTGGAGACAATCAATAATAACCCTTACAGTTTATTACTACAAGTAGACCAGAAAAGTGAAAATAATTAAATTTTTTGGACATTTCCATCACATGCAGACAGGGAGAAATCTGGACCAGCGTATACAGAAAACCATGTTTTCAACCCACATTCATTGATCGATCCACATCACATCAAGTTAGTGGCCTTTAGGTCCTGGATAAGAAGAGCTTATATGCATTGTACAAACATAAAAGACATAATAAAAAAGCTAAATTACATTCTAAGGATTGCAGAACAACAAGGATACCAAAGGAAAATCATAGAGAAACTAATCACAACCTTCCAAATAACAAAACAACAACATGCCATTGTGGGCCAAAAACAAAGGATAGTTTTAAATTATATCCCATTTTTAAGGCAAATACATAAAAAGACAGCCAAGACTAATAATTTCCAAGTAGTATATCGAAACAATCCTATGGTTTTCAAGCTCTTAAAAAATGATTAAAAAAAACGATATGATCAGAACTCAGCCACAGGAATCTACTCTATACCATTACACAACCAATGTTTTGATTCTGAGCTTGTCTATGTGGGCACAATAATGCGCAACCTCAAGGAGCAAAAACATATGATTAATAAGAACCTCGACAACACCATACTATCAGCTTATGCAAGACAACAGGACATTCAAGTCCATTGGGATCAAGCAGCAATAATTAAGCCAACAACAAATTTACACACAATAAAACATCTTGAAAGGTTAGAAATCTTTAAACACTCAAGAGAACTGGTTGCATCAACCATAGAGATGTGGACACATTAGCTACCGCATGGCGGTCTTTTTACGAGAATTATTATTATTAAGAGACATTGTTTATTTTAATTTAATTTAATTTTATGTGACATTTTCAGTTTAATTTATATTATTTTATTGACTACAACTACATTTTCCATTATTTATTTTTATCTTGGAATTCTTATTTTCATATTTACATTCTATTTTATGTTAACTGAAGAAGTTTGTTAAAAAACAGTCAAAAACATTTTTATGTTACTAAAATAATTTATTTGCTGGATTATTAAAGGTGTGTTTTATTCATATTATGGTTATCCAGTATGTACATTAATCAAATGTATTTATTTTTTTAATATCATGCCATCACCAGCGAGATCTTTTAACATTTTACATATTAAGGCAAGTAGCCTCAAGTGAAAAGTTGACTGCACCATGGAACTGTTATTTCCCTACGTGCATGTGAAAGGACAAAGTGAGAAGACACATTTTTTGTATTGTCTTTTTAAGAATGTTGTAAATTTTAAGATATTGTTTTGTTTACAGAACAATGTCATTCACTAGGCTCCCACAAAAGCCCTTCAAACTTTGTGATAGCATGGGCTAATGTGAAACAAGTTTAGCTGAAAATAAATGGAGGAAGGGCTTAAATGTTCCTCAGTAGAACCTAAACATAATTTTTCCATATTTTCCAGGTACAAAATAAATCCACAAACAATTAAATCAAAGATCTTGTTGAAGATCTATCTTATAGACACAATGTTCAAGATCTTAGCAACAAACAAACTATGCATGCCATTACATCATGCATAACTGAAAACACATGATGTTAGGACTACCTCTAGCAGCAGTTGTGTAGAACCTACGACTTCAGAAATGACATTAGAGTGGAAAATTACCATTTTATGCATAAGAGTGTGTGACAATAACAAGAAATAATTTCATCCAGCAAAATACACAAAATACATACTGTAATAGAACAGACTATTATTATTGATTATAATCTTTATATAAAATGTTGTATAGAGCTTAATCTCGTAAAAGACTGTAGAGCCCAATTTTTATATTTTTTCAGTCACAGACAGTCTGCATCAAACCAGAACTTTACAAAATTCCTTGAACAGTCATACTTAACAAACATACCACTTTGAGCTGCAGATTAAAGAATCATATCAAGAAAGGATGAATAATAGGGGACAAAGAATCAAAAAAGAATACATACTTAAAATCTTTATCTCTTAACAACATTAGATAAATACTTATTCAAACCTGAAGATTTCCATACAAAGCAGGAAACTACTGTAAGCATCTTTTAGCATGAAGAACAGAATCAAACTGAAAAACAATAGAAACTGAGAGATAATCAGAATCAAATTTATTCAAAATCTTAAAATTTATTAAATTATCAACTAATTCCAAGTTTGTAACAATTAGATCAATAACAGATTCTAGCAAAGAGGAAACGAACGTAAAGTTTGCTTGGAAATCAATTAACGACAATTTAGAAGAATCAAGCTGAAAGATTTTACCAAATTCAAAAAGTTCCTACCTCTATAATTAAAAATAATATCATTAGAATTCCTAATATTATAAAAATTTAAATTATCTGTTTCAGAAGCAATTCTAGCATTAGTATCACCAAGAATCAAAATATCATTATCTTCCTTAAAATAAAAAATTAATCTATCCTAAAAATATTAGACTGAATTATTATACAAACAATATATGTAACTTTTATCTTAAAGTAATTAATTAACTATAATAATGATTAATCTAAAATAAAGCATCAACAACTATTTAAATGAAAGTATAGTGTGGTCCTGTATATTTTTTATGGATAGCTTCTATTATATTTCAGAAATTACACTTATCATAGTTTCTGAGAAGCTTCTATAAAGCACATTCATTTAATGTTCACAGTCACAATATTTCAGTAGATTACATTTAAAAACAAAGTCTAATTTTATTTCTGTTTTGTTTTGCAATCATAAATCAATAATTTAATAATAATGTAACTTATTCCATTACACAAAAAACACTGATATCAAAATATAAGTAAATGTTTATAGTAACATATTATTACAATAAATTAGTAGTGCTTATTTGGTCTTAAACTGGAGTTAGGTCAAATTAGTGCCATTAACATACATTTCCTGGATACAGACATTACCTTAAAGAACAGCAAAGTACAATACAGTACATACCAATATGACAATATAAAAACAAGAAATTATATATATAAACATTTTCAATAAGTTCAATTTATTATAATGAGATAAAACTGAACAACATGCATGAAGCAAGAACAGTTTTAAAATAAGTTACAATGATTTTTTCAATGTACTGTACAGTACATGTTTAAATATTGTAATCATATTTATTTTTTGTATGGTATTTGATTTTATTGCCTGAAGTTGAATTTATCAAAAGTATTATTTATAATTAAATTTAAGTTTTGTTTATATAAGCATCCCAAAGTCTGATACTTTTTGTAATATGCCAAATGACTGCTGGATTAAATATTGCTACTTTACTGTTAGTATTTTTAATTAAATTATTATTAAATTTAATAAATTACATTTAATAAGAGACGGCACCTAACGCCTACATCTAGTACCAAATTATTTAGAATTTAATTTAAAATATTAGTGGTAAAGCAGCCCGATTTAGTCTGGCAGTCATTTAGCATATTTTAAATTTTGCATATATACCAGCAATTATTTATTGTGACATTGTCACAATGCCAAGCTGTAATTTTTAATCATATTTTTAATTTGTTTAATTTAAAATACAAGGCATGTTCAGAAAGTAAGTGTACTAAATTTTTATATTTTTTTAGAAAAAGTGTATTTGAAAAAAAATTACAGGATATTGTTGATATACTTGTTAACTATTTTTCCACATAATCACCATTCCGTTCAATGCATGTGGTGAGTCGTGGCACAAGCTTCTTTATGCCTTCCTCAAAGAACTCTCCCACCAGCTCCTTCACCCCACTTCAGAACCTCTTTCTGCACCTGCTCATTGATTGAAAATTTA